AAAGGCATGAACATCCAACTAGTAACTGTGTACCTTGAATCACACTTTTGTAACTAATGTCGTCCTGAGTATATTTCTTAACCATATTTCAATGTTTAGTATGTGTGCGATATTAATCATTATTAGGCATTTTTTCGTTCATTTGGTGGGTGAGTGCTATGCATTATATTATAATCTATACCGGTGATTTCATTTACAGCTTTAACCTTATTTATATTTTTAACTCGAGACGTTGGAGTGAAGTATACTGAAATATTCCTAATACACATATGTGAATGATTTTAAATGTTTAGGATGAAATCTTCAGTGAAAATTACACCATCCAGTTTTGTACTCACCCACTAAATGAATGAGAAACTGTTCGGAAATGTCAGAAATTGTACTATTGTTGAATATCGTAAACAGGATGAATAACTTCACACTAAATTGTCACCAACTTACTAGTTTGGTACCCTATATTTTACGTTTGCGTTTAATGTGTAAAATAAAATAAATGTCATCTTACATTCTTGGCATCCATTATGGCTCATTCGTGAAATTTTAATCTCATATCTAATAGTTTTCTGTTAAAACTCCCTGGAATTCACTCAATTAAGTAGGGTTTTGTTACGAAAGAGTAAATCTATATCTCAGTCATTTAGTTATAACTGTTAATTGGAGCAGTCTAACTTATTGATTTTAGACATTGTATAAATAAAATAAATTTTTGATACATTCACATTTAATTATTATTGACCAGATTTTCAAAATGACATGCTTCACTGTAAATGTTGATGTTATTTAAATCGATTGAGAATGTGTGATTGGTCCATAAATAAGTCCTTCGAGCTATAACAGTCTTGTTCCGTCGAACAAGTAGCAAATAACAGTTTGTTCAGCATCCTTGATAAACGGCCATACTAGTAACAGTATTAGTACTTGTCAAGTCATTACAGATTCATATTGTTGTGATTGTTTATATGTTAACTACTGATTTATATTTTCTGCGAATCTATAAAAATCAAATGAATTTTTCGCATATTGAAAAAGATAGATTTGTTTAATTAAGGTTCTTGTGTATATATCTCAGAAGCTAAGTGTATAACGCGATAACGTTCGAAGCGAACAGTACTGGGTTCGAGTCCCGGGGTGAATATTAACTCAGATGCATGTACATCCAGCTAACGAGCCCCGAATAGGATAGGAAGGATTCCACTGCTAGTCATTTGAAAGAATGTATTATGAAGAAATTCATGAATGTGATACAGAAAGATGATACTATATATGTACTCACTGACATTTTTGGTTCCATTCCGCTTGAATCATTTTACGAACTCGATTATATTTCCTTTACATAAAAAATCACACGACCTTATCATCAGTTCCCTTTTAGATGTTACCAATAATTATTTTTTGGCTCCATTGCCTGGAGTCACACAGAAACTTGTTAAAGAAGAGAGATTAGTTTTAATTAGCTTAATAGTAGTTTAAGTATGATAACTATTCATCATAAAGATATATGATTTCACCAATTCAGAAAACTACATAATTCTATGGAATTTGAATTAAAATCAACTTAAAAATGAAAGTTTCATTACATCAAATTATTTAATTCTACTATAGATTATTTTAATTGTAAACCCGTTTCTTAAACCATTATTTGACTGTTAAAATTTCATTACTTCGGTAAAGCCCAATACTACTCATGACTCATTTTAAATATAACAGCTATTATTTGTTCTACTAAAAAAAGGATATTTTATTCGAGCTACTTTCATTCGATTTATTAAACAAATAGAATATGAATCCATATCAAGAACAATACATTGAAGTCTTTCGAAAACTAAAGTTGTGATGGGATATTTAGATTTATTCCACTAATAACATACAAAGTATCTAAGTCGAAAACAATTTTTATTTCATCAATCAAAATTAGTATCGGAAGGGGTTTTGTGGAGATTGTCATCCTAGTGCTTCCAAATTTTCCATGGTGGTCTAGCTTCAATTAACTCATGATCTCAACTGTTTAAATCAAAATTACATTTTTGTCTGTTTTTTTCTTTTTTTTCTTTAGAAAAAATTGTTTTTGTTGATTTCTTTTAAGACGAACTTTCTAAACTGAGAAAAAAATAACAACCTTCTCTTTCATGAAACTAATCATCAAACTAGGCATATACTGATAAAAATTTACAAACTAATTGATGAATTATAAGCAAAGATGGATAGTGGCTAGTAGTGGAATCCAGGACGCGCGTTTCGTCCTGTTTGGGACTCGTTAACTGGATGTACCTGTATCTCAGAGTTGATGTTTACTCTCGGACTCGAACTCAGTACCGTTCGCTTCAAACGCCATCGCATTATCCACTTAGCTACTGAGTCCTGATAGTCACTTGCTTATGCAATGGGGTGAAGTTTAATTCACTTGATATTGTCCTGGATTCCACTACTAGCCACTATCCATCTTTACTTATAATGCTTGTAAATTAAGGCAATATCGAGGCATACGCACAGTATGCACATATACCAATAAAAGACTGATCAATTTCAGTTCCAAAAACATCAATGGGAAGATTCAAGTAAAACAATATCAAGTGAACTAATCGATGAATGTTATCAAAAACCAAAAAACCAAAAAAAAAACAACCTAAGCATAGGATACACAACAAGGCAATTATAATTTAGAGGCCAATAGGTCATTTTATTTATGAAACCTTTTGAACACTAATCACTTGAAATTTCTTTAAATTCGATACTATGAGTATTTAATTAGTTTTAGTCATTACAGTTTCTAAAATTAGTTCGGAATTATTTATCACATCTTAGAATGTAAGTGAAAGAATTTTTTTAAAATTAAATGGTTATTTATTATTGATTATAATAAATCTATATGATTGTGTTTAAATTAATTTGGTTTGATGAAATTTCAGTGTATGTTGTTGTTGTTTTTTTATTTAAAAAAAAAATGGATTATTGTTTTTTTCAGTCTCTCTCCCCCCCCCACTCTTTTCATTCATGTCTAGTTGGTTCATTTATTAGTTTTGAATTCCAAGTTTACTTAGAAATAAACATAATAATAATTTCACTTGAATTTGACTGAATAAAAAATGATCCGTTTCACTATAACACAATATTCATGATAAACTAGTGAAATTATTATATATTTTCTTAATTTAGACAATCATTTTGGAAATATATAATTCTATTGAATGATGTCTTGGTGATTAAAATATTTGACTTTAAACGATAAGGAAATGGATTCGAACCTATTCTATTTTGTGTACCTAGGTAGTATTAGTAGCTTTTATACAAGAAGTTCAACTGTAGGTAGAGTAAGCAAACCTCCTCGGTGTTTTAAGATTTCGTGACCATTTAGACATGTACTAAACAAATTTCATGCATTTTTCTTATATGAGTACTTGTTCGAGTGATTTATGTTATGTGAAGTAATAAAATATTATGTTCTTTTCTCTTCAATTTTCAAACATATTAAAAACAAGATCAATGAGGTTCAGTCAACATCAAGAAATATCCAACTTATAATCACTTTATCTTCAGTGACCAGAAGTTGTGTTGGATTGTGTCAAGGAATTGGCTGAACCTCTGATAAAATTACATAGACTAAAAAACTTCAAATAAAAGGGACTTTATTGATTTTTATGATCACCCATACCGTATGAAATATTTGACGGTTACATCACTGTCTGTAATAACGGATTTGCATTAAAAGAGAATGAATTTCTCGGGAATTCATATGTACTTAGATTTCTGTCATTCACTTTTAACTTCTGAATACAAGAGCAGTGCAGCATTCAGTAACTTGCTGGGTATTTTGCATCCGCTTGCTTACATAACTTACTCAATTCAAATCAGTACCGGATAATGTTAGTTAACATCTGCAAGATGTCCTGGATATTGGTGCTTTCCTAAGTGAAGATTTTTAATAAATAAGCCATTATACAGATGGGATGTGTCACCTTATAGTGAAAACAGTACGATGTAATCAATGAATATCTCACTTATATCTAGACCGACATGTGTTTATGAACCAGTTTATTAATGATTAATTTTCGTTACGAAATGAAAATATCATAAAATATCAAGTGGTTGAGTTCTTTTTCCATCAGGAAAGATATGATTATCTTGTTTTGCCATGTCAATCGAGGAATTTCGGACAAAAGACAGGTCTTGCCGGATCTCTAACTGTCAATGGCACTAATTCGCTTTCTACTTATAGAACTATCGGGTTGCAAGCATACTAACTGCTTTGATTTTAAAATAAATGAGGCAATCTATAGGAAGCCCCAAATTTATGTATCTTGTCTTCTGATATTCGTGAACAAGGCCTGTCTCCAATAGTTCTTCCAGTAAGGAGCGAACCCGCTTCAGTCAGAAACAAAACTACTATGGTGTTCAGGAAGTGAATTGTTAAGCTGTAACTTGTACACTAAACTGCATGACATCTTAGTCTTACAAGAGTTCGATCACTGACCGAATACCTCAGCAATAACGTACCTGGAAATAATACTAAGGAACACAAAGTCATAAGTTACTAAAAACCTCTATGATGATGAATGCCAACTGTCATCGGATCAAGGGTTTCCGTTAGCTTTCTCTCAACCACATAACATCAAACATAATCTGCTGCAATAATTATCACAACACAACTTGGTCCGTAGAAACGAGTGTCTACTAAGCTTTCATTTGGTTTATACTAACTACTTACTTAACCTACTTGTGTTATCTCAGAGAAAAGTGCTGGAACTACAACTTTTAGTATGTTTTTGAATATTATTCATTGTCTGTGTAATCTCCGGGCAGGTTGGTTTTGTAACTGACGCTTCAAATTTTGAATAGGAAGCGTTTAAGTTGAATGGTTGATTCTCTGAGCTTAAAAAGAACCATTTGTAATACTGAAAATATTCCTATTCTCATTAGTTGATAGTTTATATACCGATACTGGTTTACTTATCAATTTTTGGTTTGCTTACTCTTCACTTTTTATATTTACAGTACCACGACCGATGTCTGCCGTTCAATCGCCATGCAAATTACAACCTCCTTCTCTTACCCTTCAAAGTGGCATGCATACTCCATTATTCCGCACACCTAAGTTATTGCGAAACTCAGCGATTTTAAAGGCACCAATTGCCAACGGGCCTGGTGGAGCGCAATACCGTTGTGAAATTTTAATTTCCAACGACCTTATAGGATGCGTGATTGGAAGGGGAGGTAATAAAATCAACGAAATTCGGCAGGTAAGTAGTCCTATCGTTAAACAGACATAAACCTCAACGTTTATATGGAACAAATAACTTTTTTGACTAGCTGGTAACTTCCTTTTATGCCCTAATCAAGTGTACTCCGAAGTTCAAATCTTTTATTTTAATCTCTGTCCAAGCGACTGTACTAAATTTTTAAAAAAATTACTGTAGGCATCGATCTCACAGAGCACTTTATTTATTCAAAAATCCGTTGTATAGTGACTTTCTAATTATTACTTTGAATAGTCGTCGTAAATAGAACGGGAAAGATTTATAAACGTATTGCTTGTTAAGAAATCTAATTTTTTTATCACTAGTAGGTAATACTCTTATCAGGTTGAACGCAAAATAAACAGAATTCCCCTGGCATATTCCTAACTCAAAAACCTAGTATTTAAGGATGATAAATCCACGTAAAATGAATAAGTAAGAATACTAACAAGGTATTGATTAACAATTGAAATCAACTCCATCCACATATTGTGTGATATGCCAAGTTAGGTTGCTAAGAAAACAAACGTAAATTGGTACATAGGTGTGCGAAACGAATGCTTAGAACTTGAATAATCTGTTTAAACCAAACAGAACTGAATATCAGAAATTAAAAGCTAGCTAAATGGTTTAAATTATCTACGTTTCCCCCTAGAGAAAATGATTATGTGGTCGAAATGAAACATTGAGCTTGACCTTTGCACACCATGTTTGGTAAGTACTTCTGAGAAATTTAATACTATAAGGCAACAGACTAGTTATTTCACACATATTTTACAAAAGTTAAATAAAACCTTCAATTTTTTTCTCGATCACTCAGTTACTTAGTTTATCATCTCGAGAAACGATAAGTAGATGTACAATATCAAGTATGTTCTGTATATCTCACATCGTTGAGCTCAAACTAGTTTACATCTAAGCTAGTCGAGTTAAAAATAATTCCTCCCTCCTTTTTGATCAGCTAACGCTTATCTTAGTGTCACTTTACTTGGTAATGTAGAAGGCGATCAAAATTAATAAATTGCATCAGTAAACGTTGATTGTTAATCATATACAAAATCTATTCCCTCATAATATGAGATATGATCAAATGGTTTGAGAAATTCAACTTGCGTCTTTATCTTTAAACTAATTGTTTGAATATCTGAGGTGGTATGAAATATTCTAAGGTCTCACATACTTGCCATCAATAAGTCTTGAAAAGGAAAAAAGTGTCTAGGGAAGGTTTTTATTTTCAAATACCCTTTTATGTATGTTTATTCGATTAGAAAATATTCTACAATTAATTTACTTAGGACAGTATAAAAACATTACCTTCATGAATAGTTTGGTTATTCTTCTGTGTTAAATTGATGAAGGTAACCACATGTGGGTCGAATGGGCTGTTTCGCTAAATTATTTTTTCCCCGAAGTTTTGTGCTAAAATCAATATACACAGACATCAATAAGATGACTTGAATTTATTTAAGCCTAATTAATTATTATTTGTAAATATTTAGTTTGGTGTCTAATTATTATCTAATTTCGCTAAACTATTTGTTACGGCACTGAAATAACAAATAATACTGGTAAATAGCATAGAAGTAATTTTAAATTTGTGGCCAGTATACAATATTATATGTAGTTAAATAAAAAGAAATAATATCACTGTTCAATTTTGTCTATAAATATTCCTAGTCAAGTTCAAAAACATCCAACACAAAACTTTCGATAATGAACATATTTTTTTATTAACTAAGAGCATTCCTGAAGATTCTTTAAAGAGAACGTATGTTAGAGTAGAATAATGAAATTCAACAACTAAGTGTTTATTAGCATAGGGTTGTGAAGATTGGTGAGTTTAGATTGATATCATTAATGGAAGAATGTTAGACCACCATTGAAAACCTTGAAGCACTAGACGGCCGCGCGCGAAACCGAAGGTCCGGGTTTCGAGTCCTGTATGAAGGATCGTGAATGCGCAGTGCTCAGGAGCCCATACTAGGACCAAACGGTCGTCCAATGCTTCAAGGCTTTCAATGGTGATCTAATATTTATCCATTCATTATATCAATCAAAACTAAGCGTTTATTTAGCACTTGCTGAGTCATGGCTACAAACACTATAGCGTTATTTAAATGGAGGTACATTTCATCAGAGCTCAAACATTAAGTTTAACATTTAAAAATCTGGTTCTTAGCCTACTTATGCACACAAATGACGTTTTTCGTGAACCATGTCAAGATTATTGGTACATCTTCATGAACAACATGAATACCGCAGTATCATCATGTGCAGCTGTGTCATTTTTATAGATTCATAAATTATACAGTAGGTTTCACGGAGTTGCACTTTTTTATCAAGTTATCGTCTTAGACACCTGTAAGATAAATAAGCTTTGTATGTGTTAGCGGAACATAGACTGGACTGAAGCATGCTCAATGCACAATTGCTTTGCTGTACGCTGATTGGCTAATTCTTATCCAATCAGCACTAGTCGATAGTTGTAGAATACTCTAGAATCTTCTCATGTAAAAACTATAAATATACTGGAGTTTTCCCTATTGTGCTTCTGACTTGCTTCTCGCTTCCATCTAACCTTGTTATTTGGAATATAATCTCCTTCTTGTTCAACCGTGTTCTGATTTGGGGACTTGTCGAGTGAATCGGTGTCCGAGAATACTAGGCAATAGGAATAGCTGGGTCATAACCGTAAGAAAGCGATTATAACAGTATGTTAACCCGAGGCTGAATAAATACAGACGAACAGAATTATTGAACGGATTTAGTAATCATACAACAGGTACTATAAAATGATAAAAAGTTAAATGGAGAATGCACATTACAGAGCAGACTCATCAACTGTAGAAAATAAAGTATTCCATTGTTTTTAGTTGTAAGATTTTAAATCTTCCGTTTTTGATCTTAAGGACTGAAAGTTATCGGTCACTTTCGGCATATGTGTATCCTGAGACAATTGTCTTGATAATGTTAAGTCAAATAGGAAGAAACACGAGTCCTGGAATTCATTGCTCACCACTGCCCAACTATGCTCTAAAATATTTTATTGGTCGTATTCAAAGTGAGTATGTACTCCAAAGTAGTTATACAGTCTGTTTAACAATTATCAGTGAGGGGTTGTGGAAGTTTTTAAGTTTTTACTTGATATCACTGGACGACCGTTTAGTCCTAGTATGGGACTCCTGAAAAGTGCGCATCCACAATCCGTCATGCGGGATTCAAAATCGTGACCTTCAATCACGCTCGCAAACTCTTAACCACTAGATCACAGGGCTGGCATCCAACGGTGTTAATGTCTAACTTCAACAAATCCACGAAAATGTGCGACCATCTTCCGTTGTCTGAGGTAGATATCTATCTCCACCTGATACGTGTTAGCTCCACTGGTCACGGTTTCTCACTAGAACTCCGAGAATAACCTCACGAAGCTACTCACTAGTGAGCGCAACTCCACACTCATAATTACCATGTGCTGCGTACTATTTAGTAGTATTGTTTTATTATAGGTATGCTGATCTGTATTGCAAATGGGTTTTTAATGTAGTGAGCACAGTAATAAAAGATAGTAATCGTTTTATGGAGACATAAACGAAAGAATCCGTTTATTTATAAGCTAAATATTATTTTATCCAAAAAGCTAAATTCATGATACCCCAACGGTATTGTTAATATAGAGTCTAAATTTACTGATACCAGGCTACTAAAAACAGCATACTCGGATTATGTGTATATAATCCACGGGACTTTGATAAACAAGGTTATATTAATTAACAGAAAAAATGTAGACACTTGATAGCATGTAATCGAATGATAAGCCATTCTGATCTGCATCAGCTGGACATTTAGTAGATGTGACATATAGAGCAACTTTTAAAACAGTAGCTTACACTCTGTTAAGTCAAACTAAAACAGCCAGAATATTTATTTCAACTGACTCATGAGTTCAATCTGTGAAAATTTCTAAAAATCTCCACAAAACACATTCTGATAATAATAATCACCTGCTCACTAGTGACTGACTTCAGGAGACACTTCTGGAGTTCTAGTGAGAAGTCGTTACCAGTGGAGTTCAACCAGGTCGGTTGTGAGATAGGAACTCACTGAAGACAATGGTGTACGGTAGCGCAACTTCGTGGATCGGTTGAAGTTAGACATTAACACCGTTGGATGCCGGCTCAGTGGTCTAATGGTTAAGTGCTCGCGCGCGAAGCAAGTAGGTTCTGGGTTCGAGCCCCGGGTGGTGCAGGGTCGTGGATGCGCACTGCTGAAGAGTCCCATACTAGGATGAAATGGCCGTCCAGTGCTTCCAGGTTTTCAATGGTGGTCTAGCTTCAACTGACTCTTGAGTTCAATCTGTGAAAATTTCTAAAGATCTCCACAAAACACATTCTGATAATAAAATAGATTAATGTAAAAACCAAGGAGCCAGTTGTAAATGATTCTGGTATCAACGTTTTCATGATCCCACTACACCTCTAAATTCAAAATCCATCCCTTTTGTTAATTATATTCTGTAGGCTTCGCAGGCCAGAATCAAAATTTCTAGTGGTGAAGAAGGTATTAATATCCGCCGAGTGGTAATCACAGGAACTCTGAGTGCAGTACAGTCTGCTCATTCACAAATTAGTAACAGGTGAGGAATTTATGGTTTCACTCAGATTTATTGATATTCCTAAGGCATAGCAAACTTTAAACTTTTTGTGAAATTGTGCAAAATCTATTCGTTTCATTATACTGTGATATGAACAAAAAAATTCAGAGTTGATAAATAAAGGAAAGAAAAATATTCTGATGGTGTGCAGATAATTGGGTACAATCTACAAGCTGCAATTAACCGAGACGTGTGTACCAAAACGGTAACATGCCACACTAAGGTATAGGATTATGGAGGCGCTTGCCCACATGAGCAGAACTTATTTTGACTAACTTTGAATGAAAAGTAAAAGTTATTCAGTAAACACCATTCGTATTTCTAAGTAACCTTTATTTCACTGGGATAAACAAGAATGTTGGTCAGAACTTTGAAGACGTGGAAAGCAACTACTTACCAACTTCGAAAATTGGGTCTCCACATTTTTGTTATGTACGAATTTACGGATAACTGTGAAACCCATATTTTTTGTCACGTTATTCACTTTATTACATTTCTTACATCTTTAAATTTGGTTAGTAGGAGAAATTAACTACTGTTAATTTCTTAATCATGAAAAAAATTAGGCACAATGTTAACTATTCTCAGTATATTTGGTTTCATGCAAAGTATCAAGGCACCGTACTGCTACACTGAGTTAATGCCACCAAAAGTTGTTGTTCTGACATGAGAAATGTCAAGAGAACATTCATTTCTATGAGAAAAGAAATAGTAAGTTGAATTTTAAGTCAATAGTTTATCAGCATAATTAGGTAATAGCAATAAGACAATCATTTTGAGTGAAATTTAAGGTTGGACTTCATTAGACTTAGCTTATTTATAATGATGAAAAATGAGTATTTTAATGACCTTTTTTGCATTATTTATTTGAATGACAGTATTGAGTTACACAAGCATATATTGGCACTAAATATAGCAATGAAGAATGTGTTTTCATCGAGGAATGACTTCAAAGATGAGTTAACAGACCAATCTAGTAAATCATCTAACCACTCCTCGGACGACCTAATTGAAAATTCTGGAATAAATATTAATAATGGCATTCAAAGTCACACTTGTAACCGAAAGAATCTACCGAGAATAATAAATGAGGTGCCTGCTGGATTATCCGATTCTCAAAATATGAAAATTATGTTTCCATGTAGGATACAGTCAGACTTTAAAAAAAGTCAAAATACCATTCTCCATTCAGCACCCGAAAGAAAAGAAACAGCATTCCGATACGAAAAAGAATGTTCACCCTTCTGTTGGGATCGACAAGGCAGTGGTTTGCAAGTACCCAGAGAATCTAGAATCGGAAGTATCACCCAAACAACACGAATAAGTACACCAATCCTATCTGCTGACTTATTTAGACAGAAAGCCCATTTGGACGTAACAGACACGAAGCAACTAAGTCCATGTAATGTTCTTAATTTTATTCAAAAGTTGCAACACACTTCTCAATGACTTGGGATTTATGAAACACCAAGGAAAGTGACAACTACATAGGATTCTAGTTATACCTTCTTTCAGGATCATTACTAATAGTTGATCTATCTTTTTATGAGACCCACAAGTCACTAATTTTTTTATAAGTTGTCGAAAACTGTCGCAATAACTTACATATTCTTAAATTTCGCAGTTCTAGAAGAGAAGTCAGTTCTTAAACTAGTTACTCCATCCATTTAGTTTAATATATTATAGTTTCGTTTATGTCCTAAGTTTTAAATCACAGATAATCAGAATCTGTTTAGAATGATTACTGATGTGTTTCCTGGATATTATTAGATAAAAAAACATATATGTTCATTCAGTGTACCACTTTTCTTAACTTTCATTTTGGATCGATATTGCAATCAACCTATAATATAGTATCATGATTATTCAAAAATCAATCACTTCTGATATAATCAAGATTTATCACTAAGTTGATTGGACGCAAAATTACCAGCCATTTATGTTAAGCATAAGGGTGAAAGATAATATATTTGCTGACAAGTAAAGTACTGGTGAGGCGTCGTCGCGTAAACAAAAACGACTCAGTTGTTGATTCGCGATTATTTCGCTGAAGACTCAAGTCAGGTGATGTGCACCACAAATGATAAAGGACATGAAATACTTCTTTACAATTTACACTAAGAATGCAATAGATAGTTTCTGAAAACTCATCGGTGCTTCTTTGCATTTACCCGGTTGAAAAGATGACTCACTCAACCTTCCACTCTATGGTGAGCGACTTAGTGAGTGTCAGTCTGTTGATTTTAGGACGCATATTTTATACAATGAATTACCTTCAGGTTTTAAAGTAACGGAATAAAGTTAGCTTTTCGTAAACTGGTTAACTTATTTAAGCCCTGATCGTTAAAATCAATGATCAACTCATTAGACAATCACTCAGTTTAGTAATTCATCAAATATACTGGTACCCAATTGAGATGAACTCAACCAAACTCGAAGTGAAGGGTAATTCGAGTGCTCAGAATAAATAGACCAACTAGGTATTAGATATGAATTGATTTCCCAAAATGTGCTGTGTACACAAATCCCGTGGATGAGAATAATAACAAACGGTGTAGGTATGAACACCTGGATAGGATCAATTTATGACAATATAGTTAATTTAAACCCGAAGCAGTGGCCTTAGTACATGCAGTCAAATACATTATTATAGAAAAAATACTGTCGACACTGTTTCACGTGACAAAATTGGGTCGTCTACCCAAACTCGCAAGAATTTAACCGATCTGGTGACACTAAAACAGTTGTGATTATTCGATTAAGATTCGTGAGAAAATTACTAGGGAATTACACCAAACAAAACTAAAGGTTGAGATATCTGTTGTGAAATTACCGTGATCAGGAGCAAATAAAATACCAAGTTCTTTGAACAGGTGAGGCTAATAAATTTATGAAACGAATGATTAGTCGGCAGGTGTTACAGAGAAACTACTGAAAATATCATCCTAGGGAAGGTAAAATATGTGATTGAGAGGAAATGAGATGGTACCAGGAGCATCTAAACCGGGTTTTCAAAGGAATCAGGCTTCGAAATCGATTCGACGCCCTTTGACAGTTTTAGTTGAGCCCAAATTAGCTAATAAGATCATACTAGTTACTTTTATTGCATTTTGATCTCGCTATTCAAACGATTTGTTACCTGTCGATTAACATCCCTTTTAACTACCTAACAAAAACATAGCGAGTAGACTGTCTCAAATGTATATATAAGACGAATTTCGATAAAACCAATAAACAGGAATAAGTAGTTGACAAGGTCTACTCTGAATCACAATATACATCGTTAAACCACAGAATCGACCTTGTGACCACTACTAAATGGAATTGTTTTAACAGCATGGTCCACAAAATCTATGATTAAAGGGATAAAAGGTAAATCATAGTGAGTGATTTTGGGCTCTTACACGGTGTAGTTAGTGGATCAAAAATGCTAGCGTAACTAGATGTTATTTTCTTTATTCGTCTTAAAAATAATGACAAAACAGAATATTCCCCACTAAAAATACCAGTAAAAAATCACTTCATACTATTCGCGACACTTTACAACAAAATAGTTTGTGTTCTGAACACTTAGCTTAAGACTGAGAATACTGAAATCCAATTAAATATTAGGGTCAAGATGCTTGTATGATTTTTGATCATTTTACTTAGAATACGTGAACTAGAGCATCTCAATACACCGAATGGTGTACTTTTAATAAAAATTGGGAATGAGATTGTTGAATCACATAGACAGACTAATGACCATTAATATATCTGAAGGGTTGGTAGCTTTTTTTTCCTACTTGGGCATATCAAAATACAGAATACGCAGAGAATGATTTTATTCACAAAATGAAAATTATTGATCGTAAAACACAAACGTCGACTTCAAATGAAATGAAGTAAAACATATTCGTAAGCAAAAAACACTGGGTTGAAACGAAATGACAATAAGAAACAAGATTTTCAAAACTATAAAATGGAAACAAAATGTAATGCCAATTCAACATCTACATATATCGAAGAGTGAATGATACAGTAAGTAGATAAACAGACATAAACCGTCTCCATAAGAGACACAAAACTACAGTAACAAATAACATAACGGGAGAGATGATAATTACGATTATATCTCACCAATCCAAAGAAAACATGCTTGTAAGGTTTAGGATTAAATAAGCTATACGAACACGTGTTTCAGGAATGAAATCCAAGGGAGTAAATTTATTCCTTTCGTGAACGTCGTTTTCTAATAGACTGTTTTGCAGCCGCTTTCTGAAATGGATAATATAAATTTAATAAAATAGACATGAAAGTGACTTGAATGACTATTAACCAATCCACATAAACATCTAACCAATTTTAAAGTAACCATTATACTGGGGCCATTTAAGAACCAAGACTAACTAAATATGTCATACCTCGGTTTCTCCAGATTCATCAGGAGTTTCCTCTCCGGAGTTATCTCTGCTGCTCCCTGTTTTATTTGCGGTTGATTCATCACCGGAGCCTTTAGAAACTTGGACAATATCTTCTTCGCCAGATTCTTCTAATTCTTCGGTTTCTGCATTTCTTTCACTAACATGTACATGAGAGTCGTCTGGCGTGGATGTATCCGTCTTCTTGCGCATACCAATATCATGTTGTTTGGATGGTGACCGGCACATGTAGATACAGCATAAAAGAATGGGTAATGTACAAACAAGGCCAACTACAAAGATAAGCCAAGGTTTCTCATTATAGGTTTCTCGTATAGCATCCACAACACTTTGCTGTAAATAAAAAACAAATGGTCGATCGATAAAAACAAAAAGAACCCAAGCAATGGCATAAAATCTCTACAAACTGACAAAAGACATTTGAATTATTACTAATAATGCAACACAGCAGTACAATCAGGAAACAAGATGGCTAATGAACACTATCATATATTGAGTTGATAAACAAGCTGGGATAGTACACTTGTGACGCAAGGGTATAACCAGAAAACGGAAAACAAATAAGCAGCTTCAAATTGTTAAACAGCATAAATAGAACTTAAGTGTAGTTCAAAGACAAGAGCAAAAGATCTGATACTTAATAACTGAGTTGTATTACCTTATCTTAATAATACTATGAAATATTCGATTAGATTACCTAAAATCTAGCTACGTATATCACAAAACAAAACGAAACTCCAATATTCAAAGCCAAAAGGACTTACTGCTTTCGGATCGGCTAATCTTTCAGCTTCCTTTTTAATTGTCCATGTTTCTTGAGCAAATTCATCAGCCGCGCGCTTTGAATCAACAATCAGGAAGTTGTCAAAAGTGATGCCGTCAGTCATGGACCATAATTCTAGACCTATTGCGTTCTAGGAATAAAGTTAAGGTAATTGAATTATGAATATAAATAAATTTTGGACCACAATAAACGTAGACTATTTGTTAATTTAACATGCAAAATAGTCAAATACGAACGTACATACAACAAACAACTTAGCAACAATACTTTACAAGTTATAGCGTTGCTAAAAAAATGAAAACAAGAAAGTGGTCACAGGAAAACTGTGAGAATCGAATTCCCAACAAAGTCTGGAAAAGTGGGATGAGAGAGATACAAGTTGTTAATTTCACATGACCGACTCCAGTAAAAGCTGTATGTTGCTAGATTGCAATTTCAAAAACACATCCAGCAATATACTACTCGATAATATGGAACAATATAGTCACCAGAATCACAAACAAGACCATAAAATGTAACGATGAGAACAATGGTATCATTCATAGAGACATATCAAACTGACTGTAAAACTAAGCAAAAAAAAATATTTATTACATAAAAATTCGATAAGAAATATGGACGTTATGTAGATATCAGGTTTTCAACACTTTTACTATTACAGAAAGGTTAACACATCAAGAATGAAAAAAATAGATTCCACATCACCTAATGAACAGGTAATTTACAGGTTTATACAAAAGCAAAACCATTTTTACAGTTGTCGAACCAATAATGTATTGATTAATGTGACAATTGATAACCAAACTATATGGACAGCTAACATTGAGAAAAGAATTATGAAGTTGTAAGAGTGGATGTTATGCACTCGTGAGTATTTGATTTTGTATTTGCAGTTATAAATCTCACGAAAATAAGAAAAAGGAAACTAGAAACCAACCATGGATAACATTGTCAAATCAGGTGAAATCGTTTTTACGGTAAGCAGCGGAATTTGAAGAAAATGATTTTAGTATATTTCGATGGTACGCTGGTACTATCACATCAAACTAGAAAAATACTTTACGAGATGAGTTGCAGAGTTCGTAGGAAGTATAGAAACCTCATATAAGACTTTGTTATGAAGTTTTCAGGATCCATCTAGTCATTATCAAGGTAGGAGATAGCATGAATGTGTACCGACTCAAGTTGTGACACTTTAAATTAGCACACTAAGAGAAAACTGACAACATGAGAAACACAAGATCGGAAACAATATATAATGCTATAGAAGTCCAAACCTGAGAAGTACAATTAAAAAAGAATAAGCAAAATCAACCTATTCGTTCGCCAGTCTGTGTAGAAACAATTCTAAACCGATACAATCATCTATTACTTTACAAACAATTGTTCTCATCGACACTAGATATCAAATGAGTTTACATGGTAATAATGATAAGGTCGATGTAAAAATGATACAACGAATGACCCATAATATTGTTGCAAAATCAAATCATTAAAACAAGAACAGGTTTCACAACGTCGAATGACATAAAAAAATATATTCAACAATCATCATATAGTACAACTTAAATTAAGTGCATCACCTACCACTTCAGCTAAGCTCTTGAATGGATTCTTTTCTTCAAAATAGTGAGGGTTTGGAATTTTCCTTGGTGTCCAAATACCCTTATAATTTGGATTAGGAATCATTGGAGCAGACCATTTGCCCTTGTATTTTGGATTTGGTACAATTGGTCGTTGCCATTTACCGCACCCAGGTGCACTGGCGCATTTAGGATTATTTATTTGTGGTGCAACCCACTCACCGTCCATTTCGCGATCCCTAAAAAATTAAATATACAACTTCAAACAACTGAAATGGTTAATTTACTTGCATCCACACTAACAGATTTAATAAATTAAATACGATAACTATATATATATATATATATATATATCACGAATGATCGACAGTGGGCTTTAGTTTTAGTCTTAACAGTTACACAGTAAAAAGAGATTAGAAAAAGCATCATCTAGGAAAGTACTGAACTCATTCCACTTACTATACTTCCAACTAAAACAAAGAAAAGCAGATGCTATGTCGAAAGAACAAGAGTCGATAAATTCAGTAAAGGTCTGTACTTTTTCATTAATTAAAATTATCTGAAACAATTATATCTCCAAATACCTGGAACAGAAACAAGTCTTAAACGTGCTTTATGAGTGATAGAAAGCCCATAGTTTAGTGTCATCAATGAAGTGGAGACTAATAGAGTGATTTTCAGTAACCAAACTAGTACTATACTAAGAGTTAGTTACTTTTCTGTCAACACTGACACTGTTTACTGGACGTCAAGAGATCAATGTGACTCGGGAATAAAACTAATATTAACACAAAAAATGGAGGGCTGTCTAGTTATCCAAAAGTAGTGTTATCGACAACGTAAAACTTAGCACGAATGTTTATCAGTTCAAGTTACAACAGCTTATACTTGTACAGAGTAAATTTACAGGATAAGAAATAGATGAAGGGAATATCAACTGAGTCGGACAAGTGTGATGAATTCAGCAGGCGTTTTTCAAAGTTTCTAGTTCATTCGATAAGGAGGAACACATAATTAATCAAACTACTAGATTTCAAAGTTAGGATCTTAGGATCTCATACGTAATGCATCAATATATACTCCATCAACTTAAGGAAGAGTAATTTCAACCGGTTAAATTGACTAAACAAAGCGCTTTGAATTTTCGGACTATACTACAAACGTGAACATGGTTTCGTTATACACACAATAGCATAAATACTCTTAGAATCAATTTCGTTAGTGAATATTGGCTCACTACTAGTGACATTTATTACATTGAACATATAGTTGCAATATAATGTATAGCACAATCGGTAGGGTTGTAACCATCTACACTAATGATTTATAAAACCTTTAAATCAAGAAACTGGGAACTACTAGCTGTGCTCCCTTTAGATGTCACTTTGTTTATGTGTTAAGAAAATAATTTGTTCATCTAGCCGTGGACTGTGATAATAATGGAAAAAACTTACCAGTCTTTTGGAGGTACTGCAACAGGATCTGGAATCATCTCTGGTTCATCATCAAGCCACCCGGATGGTTTTACGGCACTTTCATCTTCGATAGTTGCGGGAGCATCTTCATCCCAGTCATCCGGCTTTTTGGCATTTGTATCGACAATCTTTTCTCTTTCATCCCAATCACTTGGCTTTTTATCGTCAGGATCATCAATTTCTTTGGGAGGATTAACTGGAGGACTAAAACAAGATTATTTACGTTGAATGGGCTGTTGTAAGGAAAAATATTACGGGAAACCGATGCTATGATTATCCGAGGATGTTAGTCATAAGCCATCGGGAAATAAATTTGAAAACAAACAGTTTAAACGATTCTAAAAAAAATTGGTGAGACTAATTACGCTAATAACATGTTTTCTAAGCAGTTATAGGGATGACCTATGTCCACTAATAAAATGATAAGTATATACGTAATAAAATGCTTGTGCTAATACCCATTTACCATGTAAATTTCATGAACCAAAAATGAGATACTAACATCAATCCAGTTTGTTTTGTAGAACTATTAAGACCAGCATTTACAATAATAATGTAATTCTAATGATGATGTTTTCATTGCTTTGGACGTTGTATCACGTTGATATTGGTGAACATACGACGATTTCATCACACTCTCAAAAATAACACTATGTGTTTTCAGTAACTGATCTTTTACCAATGCACTAACAGACTTGAAATATCAGTCAGTCAGCTACAACGTAGGACCAGGCACATATGTGCCTCGGTCCAAGTTGCCATACCTTATTGACACAAGATGAACACCGAATTCATAGAAGTACTTAATTCAGTGGTGGTAATATATAAAAGAAATACGCAGAAATAACAATCCTGTTCTGTAAAGCGATTACAAAATAGAACCCTTTGTTTACATTTATTGGGATTTTATGCTTTAATATTGCTATTTGCCCTATATTTATTTCGAAAAGTTCAGTTTTTGGGATCAAATGCACTAGTAACTTGGTATTTTAGTTCATGTGTAGCAACCAGAATGAAAGCAGTTATCGGGATTCAAATTTTAAGACAAATTTGCCTGTGCATACTCTTTAATCGGTCTTGAGGGTAATTATACCATACAAAATTTGATAGTCCTCGTAATGTTTTAATGTCGGTTACATGGTTTCGACAAGCAAACACTTATTGAAGAATGCAGCCAATAATCTAAGATTTTTCGAGCTAGAAATGAGAAATTTAATGTATTTCAGTTGCTCTGTTAATGGCCTATTAAGTTTGGTAATGTAGTACACCGTATTGCGCAGAACTCAAAAATACACTTACACAATCAAACGAGATGAAATGAAACTATTACAGTCAGAAACCTAATTCTGTTTATTTGAATATGCTTTACATATAAACTTCCGACTTCGAGTGATATGGCTCAAAATCGTTTGCAATGGCGCAGATGCATCTATTCACTGGATTATACTTCTTAGATAACATTTTCAAACCCTAATCTTTCCGATGACTGTTTATACTTTTACTAACTCTACCACAATGGAATTTAAATCACCAACTGCATCTCTGTGCTAATGTGGTATGGCAACTCGAACCGATGTACGTACGTACGAAGTTCTACGTCGTTACTGACTGTCCAACTTCGTAGAAGCTAGTCAGTTTTAAGATTTAGAGGAAATGACAGGAGGGAAATTGATCATGAGTATTACACGTGTTCTTATATATCTATTTTATTATTTTATTTGAACACATAAACATTGGTACAAAGGTGGACATATGCGCCACACAATAATGAGTATGTGAAGAGACAGTGTAAGGTGTGTACGAGAAAAAAGGGGAACAATAACGAACAGAAATTAGCGTATGACAGTGAAATAATAATAATAATAATAATAATGATAAAGGGAGAGGCAGTTCGGTTAGCGAAGGTACGGCCAGAAATTCTTCCAGTTAGAGTTGCGTCCAATTTTTATTAAGTGAAATAAAGTTACAGTACGATCGCTACTGGCTTCTATTCTGAGCCATATCTGATAACGTCTCTAGCCACTGTGTTGCACCATCTCTCGGACCCCAGCCAGGGAGTCGTGAAGGACCAACACAAGCCAACCCTTTGCAGCTTTCTTTCATACCACGACAGCATGTCATATACTGACCACCTCTCTGTTTTTACAGCCAGTCGCAGCGTCGGCAAATAATGCACGACGTGGAATTTTCTGGGACGACATTCGTAGAACATGTCCAAGCCACCGAAGTCGGTGTTTCAAGACGGTGACACCAATTGAATTATCATCTCTGTGCCCGAACACACGATGCCGAACCGCTGCATTACTAACATAGTGTTGCCACTGGATGTCAGCAATCCTTCGGAGACAACGATGATCGAACACAGAAAGTCGTTCAACGTCCTCAACTCGGAGAGGCCAGGTTTCACAAGCATAGAACAAAACTGCTCTCACCGACGCGTTGTAGATCCGAATCAGGGTCCTTCCAGTCTTGTAAAAGTACTTTGCACTTCGAAGGTCCAAAGCTCATACCGTACCTACGGACACTGATTGCCAACTGATTAAGTGCGGATTGCATGGCTTGGACATTATCGCACAGTAAGACAATATCATCCGCATACTCAAGATCGAGAAATTTTCTCCAGGCAACAGATCCACACAGCCATTACTTAAATCCATCAGAGCTGTTTTCAGAATGTCATGGATGGCAAAGTTGAAGAGGAATGGCGAGATTGGGCAACCCTGTCGAATCGAACTACCATGAAATTGAATTGTTTGCTTGAAATGAGTACAGGATATAACGGTTAAATGTTAACGAAATATAACCTGACTATTTCGAGATGCATAGAGGGGATAATTGAAATGCATTTCTTTTTCCAGGACGGATAGGCATCAGTGGTTGGAGATCGGGTGACATGGCCCAGAATTGCAATGGGTTGGATGTATTCTCTTTGCCCTGCTTTAGGTCCTAAATAGCCTTGTACAAAATAAAAGCCGGTGTATGCGTTACTTACTTACTTACTTACGCCTGTTACCTCCAATGGAGCATAGGCCGCTGACCAGCCTTCTCCAACCCACTCTGTCCTGGGCCTTCTTTTCTAGTTCCATCCAATTCTTGTTCATTTTTATCATGTCTATCTCCATTTCTCGGCGTAATGTGTTCTTTGGTCTTCCTCTTTTCCTTTGACCTACAGGATTCCATGTGAGGGCTTGTCTTGTGACGCAGTTGGGTGCTTTCCTCAATGTGTGTCCTATCCACTTCCAGCGCTTCTTCCTGATTTCTTCCTCCACTGGGATCTGGTTTGTTCTCTCCCACAGTACGTTGTTGCTAATAATGTCCGGCCAATGGATCTGAAGTATTTTGCGTAGACAATTGTTAATAAACACCTGTATTTTCTGGATGATGGTTTTCGTAGTTCTCCAGGTTTCTGCCCCATACAGTAGAACTGTCTTGACATTTGTATTGAAAATCCTGACCTTGGTGTTGGTTGACAGTTGCTTTGAGTTCCAGATGTTCCTCAGTTGTAAATATGCTGCTCTTGCTTTACCGATCCGCGCTTTCACATCTGCATCAGACCCACCATGTTCATCAATGATGCTGCCCAAATACGTAAAGGTTTTTACATCTTCCAAATCTTCTCCGTCAATTTTGATTGGATTAGTGCATTCTGTGTTGTATCGGAGAATCCTGCTTTTCCCTTTGTGTATATTGAGACCTATTGCTGCTGAGGCTGCTGCCACACTGTTTGTCTTCTCCTGCATCTGTTGTTGCGTTTGGGATAGAAGGGCCAGATCGTCTGCGAAGTCTAGGTCATCCAACTGCATCTTAGATGTCCATTGTATCCCGCGCTTTCCTTCAGACGTTGACGTCTTCATGATCCAGTCGATCACCAGGAGAAAGAGAAAGGGTGAGAGTAAGCAACCTTGCCTAACACCGGTCTTCACTTTGAACGACTTTGTCAACTGTCCTCCATGCACGATTTTGCAGTGTAATCCATCATATGAGTTCTGTATGATATTGACTATCTTCTGAGGCACGCCGTAGTGTCGAAGAAGTTTCCATAGTGTTGTTCTGTCCACGCTATCAAATGCCTTTTCGTAGTCAATGAAGTTGATGTAGAGTGATGAATTCCATTCAATTGATTGTTCCACAATTATCCGTAGAGTTGCGATTTGGTCTGTACACGATCTATCCTTACGGAATCCTGCCTGTTGGTCACGAAGTTGGGCGTCTACGCAGTCCTTCATCCTGTTTAACAATACCCTGTTGAAGACTTTTCCCGGTATTGAGAGAAGAGTGATGCCCCTGTAGTTATCACACTTGCTGAGATCGCCTTTCTTCGGTATTTTGATCAGTAGTCCTTCTTTCCAGTCTTTCGGTACTTGTTCCTCATCTTAAATCTTATTGAAGAGAATGTGGAGTATCCTTGCAGTTGCCGCTACGTCTTCTTTTAGTGCCTCTGCTGGGATGTTGCCCGGTCCTGCTGCTTTGCCACTCTTGATTTGTCTGATAGCCATGCTAATCTCTTCAATTGTTGGTGGGCCAAGATCGATTGGGAGGTCTGTGGGTGCTGCTTCGTTGTTGAGTGGGTTCAGTGGGGCTGGTCGATTTAAGAGTTCTTTGAAGTGTTCTACCCACCTGTTTTGTTGCTCTTCAATGTTGGTGATTACCTCGCCTTTCTTGTTTTTCACTGGTCGTTCTGGTTTGCGGCGATTTCCAGAGAGTTTCTTTGTCGTGTCATACAATTGTCTCATGTTTCCTTCTCTTGCAGCCTTTTCCGCCGTCGTTGCTAAATCTTCCACATATTTACGTTTGTCGGTTCTGATGCTCCTCTTCACTTGTTTGTTTATTTCCGTGTATTCAGCTTGTGCCTTGGCTTTTTCTGCTCTTGTTCGGCTGGTATTGATCGCTGCCTTCTTGTTCCTCCTTTCTTGAATCTTATCCAGTGTACCAACAGTGATCCATTCCTTGTGGTGGTGCTTCTTGTGACCCAGGACCTCATGACATGTTGAAGTGATTGCCTCTATGATCCCCTTCCAGTTGCTCTCCACAGTAGTTCCTTCTCCATTTAGTAGATCATGAAAGGCCTGGAACTTGTTGCTGAGGACTATCTTGAATTTGTTGAGTTTGTTAGTATCCTGGAGAAAGGCCGTATTGAACTTTTGTGATACTGTCTGCCCCGTTGTCCAGTGCTTCTTGAGTTTCAATATCATCTTGGCGACCAGTAAGTGATGATCTGATGCTATATCAGCTCCTCTCTTGGTTCTCACTTCCTCTATAGTCCTCCTGAACGTTTTGCTGATGCAAATATGGTCGATTTGGTTTTGTGTAGAGTGATCCGGTGAAGTCCATGTGGTTTTATGTATGCGTTTATGTGACGCTCTCGTTTGATTTGGGGAATCGAACTACCATGAAATTGAATTGTTTGCTTGAAATGAGTACAGGATATAACGGTTAAATGTTAACGAAATATAACCTGACTATTTCGAGATGCATAGAGGGGATAATTGAAATGCATTTCTTTTTCCAGGACGGATAGGCATCAGTGGTTGGAGATCGGGTGACATGGCCCAGAATTGCAATGGGTTGGATGTATTCTCTTTGCCCTGCTTTAGGTCCTAAATAGCCTTGTACAAAATAAAAGCCGGTGTATGCGTTGCATACAACTAAATACCTAGTCTTATGGGACCATAACAGTTTGCCTTCTTTTAAGTTAACTACTGATGGTCAGATCTAGCATAAGACATGGGACAAGAATACATCAGACTTGATTGCAACACATTTCCAGATGACATAAAAAGGGAAGACGAGATGGTATTAAACGTGATAAAATCCATACAGAAAAAATGGTTCCTAATAAGCTAATATCAAAGAACAGAAAACAACAGCAACAGAAAAGTGATACTGAAATGAAATTACTATACTACAAATGTAAGCTATTCGTCCCAATCCCTGACTTAGCATACATATTTCCGGATCTAAGATAAGTGTATACTCTGAGAAATGTGGGAGGTTATAAGGAAACAAAATTAGGACATCATAAACTAAGATATGGAAATGCCAAAAAAACATGCATTATAGACTTACTCAAAATCTTCAAGTAGGCTGCCACTTTGAACTTTAATCTGGTCGATGTACCGCTCAAATGAGTTATCCGAACGTAAAACTACATCAAGTATATGATGGGGTATTCAACTAACCTAATGTGTAAAGGTGTGTCTTCTTGTCTGAAAAGTATGACTCCAGTTCTGGAACAACCTTTTTAGCGTGCTTTTCCTCATACACACCAGTCTTGGGATTTTTGTGCCGGAAAATAAAGTGGAACTAGAAATAAAATTATTGCATATTTCTTAAGTACTTTGTTCTCTAGTCCACATTTGTCGGGACCGAACATAATTGTATACGGAGTTTTGTCGTTAAATTGTTTCTTAACTAAGTTAACAAAACTTTAAGAACTTACCAGGTCCAAATTTGGTGAAGCACTCAACAACTTTATGTAGGCGCCACCACAATCGATCCCATCTTGGAACTTGACATCATACTGGATAACAAGCTCATTGGTGTCAAACTTTATTGGCCTGAACAGTTTTGTCGAAACAGCATGATGTTTTGCCTTGGATTTGAGAACCAGTGCATGATCATTTTCTATCGCACTGGTATATGGCACTTCAACAGACCAAACACCATCATACTTCGCAATTGAGTCATCTATACCATCTTTGCGTGCCTGAGAGACTACAAGTCTGGAGAGAAGGTTAGAAAACAAGTTAGTTACTTCTCAGTAATATCTGATGGTGAGTTAAAGAACAGTGCAAGGTAAGCATTTTTGGGGATATTTGGATTCTTGAATGACGGCTAAGGAATTTAGAATTAAAGCGTACATACTTTCTTGTTTTCTACTTCAGGTGCTGTAGCAGCATCATCAGCCTTACATATCAATAAACAGAAAGGCAAATACAAAAGAATGAATCTTAGGATCAACATGACTCCACGTCCAACCGTAACCTGGCGCTAAAGTGTTTTTAATCGTGCCCGTTCCTTATTGGTCAATTAGGAGAACTGAGGCGATTAAAACAATTAAAGTTACAATCACCGGAAGGTATATAAATTAAAAATCCCAAGTAGATTTCTCACACACGTGCAATGTCAGTAACACCAGAAAAACGAGTTAGTTGTTGGATCTGTTGTGTTCGTTAAGACCATCTAACAACATCAGGCATCTGAATGTGGTCATTTTCAGAAGTCCTGTTGCTGAAATCTAATAGGACAGTTGAGTGCCAGGACCATAGCTCTTCTATGACCATATTTTAATTTAGAGAGCTTTATTCCTCGAGCTAACTTGACTGAATAAAAAACATCAGAAGGGACGATCCTTTTGAAACTATGTCTTCCAAAATCACAGATCTGAAGCTTTTCAGATATTCTAAGAAATAGGAACTTATGTTACACTGTATTTTAACTGTTTATTATCGCTCTATTCTTGGGCTTTTATTATATAGTAATCCTGGTACCGTAGTTTTCTATTTTATTTGGGGACAAAATATACTCGTCTTATCGACCACAGTAGCTATAGCTTGGTCAAGCCTGAAGGTAAGTCTTGGACAAGCAGAGTCAAACCATTTCAGGAGCTTGGTTTTAATACTCTCTGGTAATTTTTACTCAGGAGAACGAATTACAAGTAAAACAGTCTCCAATGGTCTAAAACTCCTGGTACATTATCACTGCACAGAAGCACACCCAATTATTCACGGTCCTGAAGCTTACATGAATAGTAGTACATACAAATACATATAATGACAGGAAATTCTCATAAAAGGTGCAAGCAGAGTATATACATAAGTGGTATTCTAATTTTGTCGAGGAAATGTTTTGGCCCTTAAAACCTATTCCATCCAAATAACTTCCTGCCACCTTCCAGACCAACTGCAAATGTGCTAATGCAGTTATACTTCTAATCGAGCAGTGCTGCAACTCTTCGTAAACTCTCATGCATCCTTTGTAAAATGTAGCTTCAGCATATGTTCTACAGAAGTTTCGAGGGTAGACTTGTTTGCTAAAGTTGTCCATAGTCTACTGTGTCGTCTAAAAGATTCTCTTTTCTCTGGATATGCTATACTAAAGGAAGCTTGTAGGGATGTTTAGAAAATAGTGGTATATATACAAATTTTGTTTACATTTCTATCTTTTAAATCTTATCCACTTTGTATATCCTCCACTATTGTTTGCAAAGCCTGTCACCTAATGTTTCGGTGTTGTTTGTCGGTAACTGAAGGCAGGCGGCTGAGTCATTTGATAACATAAGATAAATATGAGAACATAAATACTCGATTCCAGAGCTTCCTACTTCCCTGCTATATGAAGGCGCTGTATTTCTTGTTCTCTCAAATTGAATGATGGGACGTTTGTTCTTTTGACGGGGGTCAACCAAGCCAATTGTTTTCTATAGTTGTGTTGTGAACAGTATCCCCAGACGATTAAAAGTTATTCACAACTTCAGGGCATAATGAAGTAATGAAAAGATGGGATTAACAATCTTATTAGTATAAAAGCACTTCTTTTATTGCTTTTTGCCAAACGTTTACCTTACACAGTCCACTGATATCTATCTTTTGGGTCAATCCCTATCAAATTTCCAGTACATGGGTTCCATGGTCAAACAGAAGGTACGAAAGTGAGAAACTTGAAGTGAGTTTAGGCAATTATATTTTCTACGGTATTAGCTGTGTTTTAAATTATTCATTTGCGTAATATAATGCATCATATTTCAATCTTTACGAACCCATTCTGAATCAGGATACTGTGGAATACTAACTCAATTGTTAATTCAATAGTATTTCGCCTTCGATTCAGTTTTTCTAGGATTTTTTATAACCAACGACTGGCTTAAAATCTGTTTCACAATGTAACTAAAAAAAAGTAATCCGGGCGTTTCATTATTTTGGCAAATCATCTACCGATTCTATGAAAATTAATAACATCTTGTAGCGGTAAATAAATCCCCAAAATAAATAGCTCTGTAAGTTTTCGACATTGGATGCTGACCATATGTTTTAGTGGACTCACCTAGCTGAAGGCGCTCGGTCATGCATCCGCACCAGATCACGTGTGGTAACGCCGTGCTCAACATCAACCGCAATCGCTAGCCAGATTAGATCAGAGAATTCCGATATATTGGTCATCGCCAAATATACTCTTCCGATCTCCTCGACTCTGTCTTTTGATTTCTCTGGGCGGGAACGAAATATATTAGAAGGTGTTACTGGTAGAAGCGTTGTCAAACACTGAATAACTTTGACATCATCATTGGTGAGACCGTCGTGATCTGGTACACCTAATTGCAACTGTGAGTCTGTTCCTTTTTGGGATTTTTTATATATCATTGCCTTATTTTCTAATTTTTTTAAACATTGTGATTTTTTTCATGTTTTTTCTTGGATATATATGTATAATTTATGGTCTACCATGATATTAGTACTGCTTTAATAATAGACCTAATCCTAAATTTGTAGATTTGTCATGATATAACTGCCTAATCCATAAGATCTTACGTGGAAGTCACACCATCGACTACACCAACTCACTGTATCGTATCAATTACCAATACATGATGTAGAACAAGGTTAGGCTAGAGAAAGAACAATATATTTAATATGAATAGAAGATATAAGGTAACATTCGGCAGAGACCACGCCTGCATGGCCGAGCCATGCCATCCGGTCAACTCCAGTCCATTCAATTCATTGTTCGCGCCTTCTCCATTGTTAGGTATTTCTCCGCGTTAAATATTGAATATCTATTTTCTGAGTAGTCTCGTGTTCACAGCTTTGTGGATTGTGTGGCTATTGTCCAATGCCACTACACTACTCTCCCACCAGAATCAACGTGATGTTGGTTCGATACCAAATTGGATGGGATCGTCGCGCGCCGGAGGTTACCAAGGATAATAAGAATCCTCCGGGTATTGATAAGCTGAAAGATAAATCAAAAAGAAAGCGGCAGCATCTGGTCGGGAAATACATGTAATAATTTTAAAATATCTGCCTTCATGCTTAACATGCTTGAAATGAAAACTTGGGTGAAGATTATTTGGGCTATAAAAAATGGGATTACAATAACAACAATAATAATAATAAAACGATGCGTGTTAATAGCCGTTGGTTAATAACTTAACGTATAGGTAGTAAGTATTTTGTGTTTAGAAATATTAAAGTGATGAATATTGTAGAAATGTTAATATTGGTATTAGTTTTGGTTTAAATTATGAAATCAAATAACGATTATGCCGGTAAGTTGTCCATATGAGTTGAATTCCAATTGCATATGTATTAGTAGGCCAACTGAAGGAACAAAAGTATACCGTGGAGAAGAATTCCAACTAGTGTTCCAGTTAGTTTGGTACGGTTTATTTAGTTACGGGGAGATTTCCTCAACCTCATTTTTACTTGACCGTGATAGAATTTAGTAATACTACTAATACACATGAATGGTTATCAAAATAAAATTTAAATACATGAGTGATAATTATATGAATTTTGGACAGATAGCCAGGAACAAATCGTTAAACATGAGTGTATTCGTAAGAGACATGCTCTGGACTCAATGTTCTGATCTGCGGCAGACTATTTATTTATATTTATACTTGCTGGCTGATTGGGCATACAAGCTAGTTGCAAGTATGCAGTTTATCATAAGGCGGAATACGATTTAATTGAGATATAGTGGTTATAAGTTATTAAAATCAGTTAGGCCTGTGTCATATTACGAAGTGATGTGGTGCTGCAAGATGTATTTAGCTAAATAAGTTTTTACAAGATGATAAATAGTGAGTGATGCTCATGTGATTATCAGGGAGAACATAAGTTGTAACCAGGGGGAGTACACTCCCAACTCATGTCTATGATAATGGCTTGAACCTTAGTCAGTGTTGGGGTAAATTCGACATTGATGTTTTCAGTTTGCAGGAGATTTGCTCGACTGCTTATACTGATTATTTGCATGCATGATTGTGTCGCTAAACCATCAATTAGACTGACAAAGTTTTGAGATATTTACTGAATGAGCAACTGAGAGAGAAACATACTGTAATCATCTGTGATGAATGAAGATACCAAGAAAACAACACCATTTAATGGTAATTATAAGTCAATTTGTCGACCGATTTCGTTAATAGTTTCATTAATTTTATCAGTCATATTACGTGATTGTCAAGTTATGACAATGCTTTATGACGATATCCTGAAACTATTAAATTTAACTAGTTATAGTGTTGATTGAGGATTAGTCAGTGGAAAAATAGGTATTGTTGCTTTAGGTGATTCAAAATCGTCAGAAATTTATAACGTTAAAGAATCCGAGACGCCTAATTTAATTATAAATTTCAATTCAGAAATATTCGTTTAGTGTTAATTCTAGTAGGCTACGGAGTTTTGATTTTAAACGTTTGTTTAGCCAACAGCCACCTAGGGATTTAGTTATTTTACTAGTGCAGTTAATAGTACCTAAATTTTTAATCTTATTATCTAAACTATGTTCGCATTTTAGGCTGCTAATATGATAAATCAATCCATAAAGCCAAATACGATTAGCGACAACGACTATGATGGGTTTATTGATAAATGTTAAAGGCGATTCAGATGATTCCTAAATTTAGAAGACATGAAGATATAGTGTAACGTATGTGCGGGCTAGGTTGACAAGCAGGTTGTTGACGTATATGACAATTTAAAAATAATGAACATGATCAGATAAATAAATTCCAAGTTAAGACTGCTTGTGAAACTTCAGGCAGGAATATGACGCGTTATAAACATTCCATAAGAAGTTACTGCATTTAACCTAGGGACACTTACAAATATATGGCAAAAGCAACTGGAAAACATATATATGTTAAGTACAAAAAATCATTAAGTAAAATAGTTGAACTCGCCTGGATTATTTTTGAAAATCAGATTATTCAGTGGACGACATATATAACGCCATTCGTG